TGTTGACGTTAATATGACCCGCGTCCTCAGCTGCCAGCATGTGCGTGTCCCACACAGAGCGGTACTCCGGGTCATGGAGCACATCGTACAAAGAATCCGGCGATACGTCCTCGAACTCTGCCACCACCTGTAAACCAAGAACCAAACTAAAGACAGGATAGAGGATATGTCCTTCGACTGTTCCTTTGTTTATTTGAAATAAGAAAACTTATTGGAGACTAGCTATTGCTCGTGACGTCGTCCGCGTGGAATTAAAAAATAAAACTAGTCTAAGTTACTCAATGATAAATTAACTTTTTAATGATGAAAAATATTTGAAATCAGCCCTACAGTTTTTAAGTTATTCCAATACATATAAAAATACAAATCTTTCTTTTTTATAATATTAAGTATAGATGTCAGCTGTGAGCGATTTTAATGAAATGATGTTAGAATATTCATTGCCTTATAATACTATAAAAAGGGGGGGGGCCTTAGCCTCCCTAACCCCCTAGCTACAATACGATTATATTTCTTAAAAAAAAAGTTTTCCGTAAAGAAATCGAGAAGAGGATATAAACCACAAAAGGAATACTGTAAACAATAAATCACTTATCTCGGTCCCGTTTTTCAAGACGACAAAAGAAAGGAAAAATCTTAAATTCGAAATGACAGGTGAAAATAAATTTATCTGTACAAGAAATTTCTATGAAAACATTTTCTTCAAAACATACCTTGGTGAGATTTTTCGAAGAAAAATATGATTACATTTAACTAGAGATTTTATATCTCTGTAGTAAAAAAATTTAAGTAGAAATAAAGTTGAAGGAAAAGGAAATTAAAAATACATAACTACTAATAATTATAGAACAATAATATTATAACAATATACGAGCAATTTGCCAACCAGGATAACCCCTGCGTGTATAATTACACTGGCTGGTAACGTGCAAATGGCAGAACCTTGTTACTAATGGAACTCATTAACTAGAATAAATTGAACTTGCATTCACCACAGTTATTACTTAATTTAATCCAAATACTTTTTTATTTAAATCTTACTTTTCGTTAAATCAATTAGAATAAGGAGTTTTAAAATTTCCATGAAAACGACCAATTGAAACTTAAAGCTTAAACGGACGAAACTGCGATATGAAATAATTAGTGAAACTTGAGTTTAAAACTTGTTAAGTACTTACGAAGTGCGCGCAGGCTGTCTACACGAGCGAGCCAAGTTTCTAGTGCTCTTACAAACTGACACCAAGTGTTTCATTCAGATTAAAATGAACAGCGACCATTTCAGGTAAACCGGACACTTCAAAGTGCCACAATAGTTTTTTGATGTGATTAAAATATTAAATGTAAATAAAGAAATAAAACAAGTACTTGTATATCTCACGATACTACAAGTTAATTTTAAAAATACAAATATTTTTCGATATTAAAATTTCGACCCGTTTCGCTTTGTACGTGAAAAATGTTTAATATATTAAAGCAAGTAAAAGCTTAACATTTAAATATTTTTATATTTTAAAAACCTATTTCACTTTAAACGTATAAAATTAAACAAATTAGAATCCATTAAAAAACAAAAGCATTCACCCAAAAGGAGAACTTTCAAAAAGCATTCTAAAATTGAAATAATTTTGCGTCGCAGAGTAGCATCGCAAACTTTTTAAAAGCATTAATTTAAAATTTATCTCAGTGGCCACGTTGGCGTTGGAGGGAACTCTGAAATTAGCGAACGCGGCATGAAGCGAACATTCCATACAGCCCTACGGCATACTGTATTATGCAAATATCCACTGAAAATACGCTCTAATGTTACATTAATAAAAACATTTTAGCATAGCTCAAACTTATCTTTACTTACATATTTGTACTTTACTCAGTAATATTACTATTAGATGTAAAATTTTATCTGAAACTTTTTAATCTGTGAAATATTTTTGTCTGTTTTTCTATAACTGTCGGTGTGTGTTAAAATTACTTAATTATGGCACTTTTGTATATTTATTGTTCTAAGAAGCTTGAATAAAGGAAATAAACACAATAATCATTAGTTACAATATTAATTAAAATGAACAAGTAAACATCTGACGTGTGACCTTTTGGAAGCAATCGAATATAACCTTACACGTGAAAAATTGGTTGAATCGTTTAGGATTTAAACCTAAAGGTAAGCCACATACCTCTCAGGCGGTTATTAAATATTGTATTGTAAAATGCACGCATAAACTTTTATTTCAGCTGTTGTAGTGATCGTAAAAGGTTGTATAATTATGGTACTTATGTGTTAATGAATTGTTTATCTATACATGTAATAAAATTGGAGTGTCTGTTATGCAAAAAAAATTCCAGATTTCAGGATGATGACGTATTTGCGTTGCTGAGAACGAAAATGGCATTTAAAATTTTTGTCTCTGTCCGCAAGCCGCGGTTGTTTCGGGTAATCCCTGATACGGCTGGGCTGATTTTGACCGGACTTTCACTGAACGGTAAGCTTACATAGACGGGCATAATTATAGGTTACTTTTTTAATTCCGCGCTGTCAAAATGGCGTAACAGGTGGTCGAAGTTTGCGGCCGACAGTTAGTTAAATATATAACTTGTAATCTTTCCCTGTTTCCAATAAAAACGACTGTCATTTGCGTCTAATTCTAGATTTACTATAAATAGTATCCGACAAGATTATACTTTAGTCATAGAAAAATCTAGAATCAGACGGAAATGACAGTCGTGTTTATTGGAACGCAATAATATGAATGAACGATGACTTTTCTGTTCCGGAAACCATTTCTAACGTCAGTAAATCTACAATTGTCGAAGATATTAACAGATGTTTCTAGAAGAACGCAAGTGGCTACTTGATGCCAATTAATTGATTCTTGTCTATAGAAATGATTCAGTATATATACTCGTAATTCAAATTTCAGATCAAGATGTCGAGGATAATGCGAAGGAATTAACAAAGAAAGTAGATCCTACTACCATTAGAGATGCGCTAGGAATAGAGGAAAAAATGATGGAAAACTAATAGTAGTTGTACTAGTTTTAGTAGCTTTACTAGGGGTTTGCACAACACTACTGGCTTTGGAAAAAGACAAGTAGTAAAAAGTAATTTCGCGATACAATTTTATTTTTAGATTGATTTGTTGGCTATATAAAAATTCTCAAAGACCCGTAATCCCGTGAAATCATAACAGTAAGTTACGACACTATAAAAGAAGTATTAAAGCAGTTATGATCAATAACTTATATCATAACGACATCTCATAAAAAGGTGTTTGGGTGTCTGTGAAATGAAATATGGCAAATCTCTGTAGTTCTATACGTGACATTTTTACAAAATCATCCCTTCGTACGCACGACGGAACATCTTCTCTTACATTTGTTATAGTCAGAGAATTCGAATTCGAATTTTAGTGCCTTGTACAGACATTTTTATGGATTTCTTAATCTCTCTCTTCTTTTCCTATGTCCCCAAAGTGGGGCAGAGGGCGTCCACAGTACGCCGCCAGCTGGCTCTTTGTCTCGGACTATGACAGCCCGATTGCCTTCAAGACGGCTGCTAGTATACGTGATTTCTTAATAGATTTTAAAAATTCTAAGAAGGAACTAAATAAATCTGAATAAAATTCATTACTTGTTTACGAAATGTAAATGCATCTAACACTCTTGGACAGTTATATTGTTATGTTTTTATTAAATTTCGCCGCAAATTAAAACTCGACGTAAGTTAAGCGTCAAACTCACGCGAGCCTCACAAATTATGCAAAGTTAATTACTTTTTAAAATCGATAATACATTTGCTGTACAGTTCATATATATGTAAAAAAGACAGAAAGTCGTTGTAAGTTTCACCAGAAAAACTATGATATTACCTATTCCCTTTTAAAAAAAAGACAACAATGTTTCTATGCAGTGAAAACTTAGGACTCCAGTGCCATTGTTAGGCTGCGTAAAGATTGAAAACGCAGAAGTGAGCAAGTCTACAATGCGGTGGTTTCAATAGGCGAGGAAACAAGGCTCTTCGAGTACTTTTCTGTCATTCAAAAACAACTCTACCATTTGATATCTGCCTCGTTTTATTCAAATGGGTTGTATTCAAGTAAACGATAGCTAATGAGTCATGCTTCCAATATTTCTAACATTTCATTATTTCGAGAATAGAATGAATTTATGCAATCACAAGCTGTTGCCCCCGACTTTGTTCGAAATTACTAAGCTTTTTTCTTTCAGGAATCTGTGCTAAATTTAACGAAAGTCCGTTAAGAGATATGTAGTTGTTATAAACATCCAAGAAAACTTTCACATTTATAATACACAAAATAAATAAAAGTATACCCTTTACTACTGATGTGGTACAGTAGTATGAATATGATGCAATCACGATAAATAAAAAAACAATGAATGTACCCATTGTTATGCAACAACAGCCGCCAACAATTAAATAGCAGTCAAATAGTTTGCAGATTAGAGTTTCCATCTATATCTATACTTCTATACTAATATAATAAAGTGTAAACACACGCTTCTTTGTGGCATAGGATGTCAGTAATCTCTGCATATTTTTGAATAATTATTTCTTTAATAAAAAGCGCTAGACTTATCTTTATGTGGGAAAGAGACCATAAACCAAGCTGTCAACATCAAGGAAGCAAAGTTGCTATGGTTTGTCATCATGTCATGTCATTTTGACATTTGTAATTGATAATTTGTCAAATGTAAACAATACAATGAAATTTTCATAATTTCACGCGGATAAAGCCGCACGGAAACAGCTAGTATGTTAATAAAATGCATTAAATATCGAAGATGTCTTATTAAAAAACTTTTACTATTCGATTTTAATATTCATAATACCCGAAACCTTTGATCAAACCCCTCGGTGAATTTACGACTCTTACGAGACCAGAAACAGGGATCAAAACGCATAAGTCGTCTACACTGAGCTTTATTAGAGAATCAACGTAGGAGAAGTAATGTAAACCGCACGTGTGAATTTCATTCGTCCGTCCTCGTAAATAAATTCAACGTCCTTTTTTGCAATTCTAAGAGGATCTTTGGTCGGGGAAATTCTTAAGTATTAAATATCGTTAGAAGATTTTATTACGTCGATGAACGGAATTTAATCTGATAGGTAAATTAATATTACGAGTAATAGAATAAGGTTTTATTGACTAAAATGTCTCAATAATTCCTAGACGAAGATTGACTATTTTATAACAATCAATATTATTACATTTGTATATCTGCAAAGGACAAAAAATAATATTATTCCTTTATCCTTTAGAGAAAAATACTTGGTAATCATTTTCTCATAATTCATCCGCATGAAATTATGAAAATAGCAAATTTTAAAATGACATGACATGACAAACCTTAGCAGTCTTGCTTTCTTAATGTTGGCAGCAACTTATGGTCTCTTTCCCACATTAGTGTTTTTATCCAAAATATTTACCCCCTAAATTTAATGGCGTGAAAATGTATGGCCTAAAGCATGACGAAAGTGTAGGGCTTTTTATTAAGAAAAGAATTATTCAAAAACATGTTGTAATTGGTGCCATCTTAGGCAACAAAGAAGTGTGTGTTTACGCTTTATTATAAAAGTATAGATATATATCAAAAAGAGCACATGATTAAATAGGAAAGGCGTTAACAGACCCCCGCGGGTTAGTAATCTATTGCAAAGTTGAAATACAGCGGTTTTACATTAACGTAATAACTCACAAAGAGCGAAAAAGGCTTCAGCTGAATTATTTAGTACGGATATCACCTATTTTATGTTCTCGTATTGAATAAACTTTAAATGTCTACGCTCTTATCCTGTTAAACACACACATATATATACAATACGGGTATGTAGGTAGGTAGGTAGGTAGAGCAGGGCGAGGTGGTCTGCCCAGGGCGCCGTGCATAAAGGGGCGACACAGACGCGTTTTTCTTATGGGTTTGTCAGTACAAATGCAATCGTACGGGGTTCTGTATAAATCTCGCCCAGGGCGTCGGTAACCGGTCCTGCCTATATTTTCCATTTTGAAGTTATTCTTTATGTAGTTTAAAACTTACCAAATACCGACTGAGAAGTAATTGGTTGTTTGAGAAATAAAGTCGTTAAGTTTTATACTTAATTTTAACTTGTACTTTTTCATATTCTTCCATTTTACGTCTTTCATTTTAAAACATTTCGTTTTTACCGTTTTTAATATATGTTAACCCAACTATAAGTTGAAACTCTAGTTATTTAAATAATTACTCTAATACCAGTTTTTAAAAGTTTCTTTTAAAAAGTCCAATTTAAGAATCTCACTGATTGATGTAAGAATTTGAATAAAGAATTGAATGATAACAAAATTTTAAATTGAAAATTTTCGTCATTAATCCTTCCCGTCCCTTCCCGGTTACATTTACATACCTAATCCCGAAATTAATTAGGATCTGAAGACATCCCTTTTCATGCTTGGTTAGCTTTAAAAATCCCTTCGGATATTAAATAAATCCTCCCATTCACTTGAATAAATTTACCTAATTTTACAAATTTCTAGCCATTTTCACTCGAAATGTGGTTTTATTTAAGTTATAAAAGCATTCTTAGCATCTTAAAATAAGCTGGATTAAAATAATTTAATTTAATTTTTTTGAAAGTTAAACTATGTTATATTACTATTCTTTTTGGAAAGAAATCTATTTAACTATTTATATGAAAAACAATACAAAGGTACCTATACTATGTACTTGTAAAGAATTAACTATTACGTCTACCTTTTCAGCCACATTTTGAATGCAAATAGACCCTCATGAGTATAAAAGTGGTTAGGACCTAAACAAACCGCTTAAACGTCCAAGTAAGAGCAAATATTTACTCGCGGTCAGTACTGGCATCTCCGGTTTGTGAACATTAAACGAATTTAGCTTATTTCTTATACATTCCATGAAATATTTGAATATTTCTTCCTATATAAACGAACTAGCTTTTGCCCGCGACTCCTATCGCGTGGAAATAAAAAAAGTAAGTAGCCTATGTGTTCTTCCAGACTATGCTCTATATTTATGCCAAATTTCATCGAAACCAGTTCAGCCGTTTAGGCTACAAACTCAAACAAATGTCCATCCATCCATCTAAACTTACCTATTTATAAGTAAGACTAGCATTCGTCCGCGACTCCGTCTGCGAGGTGTTAGGAAAACCAAAACCAAGTCGTCTATGTGTTCTTTGAGACTATTATCTACATCAATGCCAAATTTCATTGAGATCCATTCAGCCGTTCAGATTACAAACTCTAACAAACATCCATCCATCCATTCATCTATCCATCTAAACTTTTACATTTATAATATTAGTATTAACAAACGACAAAATTCACGCCGGTTCAGTGTACCGACTAGTTTAATTTAGTTTATTCAAGTCACGTTTCATCTTTCATTTAAATTGGAACCTTATTTAATCAACATTACACAAGCACGAGCGTAAATTAGTAGAAAAATCCAATAAAAGCACGCTTACAATTCGAAACGTAAATAAAGATGAAACTGGAACATAACTTCAAGTTGAAACTAGAAAATATCTTGCTTTACAATTTGACCTAGTGACTTCGCGCTCTGATTTGCTACAGCTAGCTTTTTTTTAATATCAACCTATTAACTCGATATAATCTTTATAATACTTCTCGTAAGTGCCTGCTGCCTGCCCAGAAGCTTATGCCCAGCATTGAGAATTTTATAGCTAATAAGAAAATTTCTCATGTATTCAACTCGTATTTATTCCCTCGGGTTTTATCTCAGAATTTATTTGGGGTAGTAATACTTATCTACCTGTAGAACATCTTATCGCGTTTCCGCTATTAAGTTTTTATGGTTTCGGTCAATTAGCGAAAACGAGAGACGGTAATCTTAACACAGAAAAGCTTACCGTGTAGCGTCTTCAAGTTTATTAGTACTCGACTTTTTACAGCCTAGCTGTTGCTCATGATTCACTTCAGGTCAAATAAATAAATTTACTAAGTTCCTGAAATGCAATTTCATCAAAAGTATAACGCATTAGCAGAAGATATAAAATAAACATGCAACATAAACACATTTTAATTCAAAACACGGCAACACTGGCCGATTATAAAACGAAAGAAACTAACCTTAACAGTCCGAAGCGCGCCATGGGCCGCATCCTCCGCCCATACTTTAACACCATCTCTTTCATACTCCAGGCTCCAGCCGTCTTCGGAAGCGAGGAGTTGCTTCAGGGTCTCGAAGTCAGAGTCGTCAGCCACGCGAGCTTCGCCCCGCGCCCAGCCCGCGCCTCCCATTCGCTCGCGGACATCACAACCGACTGCAGGGCGACACAACCGCGCCAACAGTCGATGCTCAGCGCATGCGCGGGAACGATCACCGCAATCTTCTTTTTGGGTTACGCGGTTAAATGGAATTCATGATTTATCGCTATCATAATTTACATTTATAATAAATTAGGTTTATGTTTTAAATATTGTCATAATTATTTTCGTTAATATTTTGATTTTTTATTGGGATAAAGACCTGGAATATTTATACAATAATGAAATATGATACTTTTATGCACAATTTAAATATAATTACGTTATACGTATGTTATTACAAGTCTGCTAAAGTAGCTTGATTCATGTCCGAGCAATGCGATAATTATTGATTTTTAATATTAAAAATATTAAATTAACACAAAAATTATATGTTACGGAACCTAATATTGCGAAAACGTTTCATGTTTGACGGAACGTGCTTTGAAAAGCACAAAGTGTTAGCGTAGTAAGTGGGCTTAAGTAACTCTACGGCGTAGCGTTGCTACGGCGCAGGTGTGTCTGATGACTCGAGTGGTTACAAATCGTAAAGAAATATAACTCAAGGACGTATATAATGTGTCCTATTTTCTATATTCTGTATTCAAAACTATACAATCTTACTAATCTTACTTATATTATAAATGCGAAAGTTCAGATGGATGGATGGATGAATGTTTGTTAGAGTTTGTAGCCTAAACGGCTGAACGGAACTCGATGAAATTTGGCATAGATGTAGAGCATAGTCTGAAATACAACATAGGCTACTTACTTTTGTTTTTTTAATTCGACGCGGACGGATTCGCGGGCGAAAGCAAGTTTACTATAAAGTATTATAAAATTGTTGTTATAAATTATTTTCTGAACAATTTTGAAAGTACTTTTAATAACTTATTAGACTAATCGGTAAGAGTTATCAGGGTATGAAAGGATTGCGTTCGATGACGTAGTACGGACGCATTTGTGCCCCACATATCTAATTAATTCAATTCATATTCTTTTGATGTCGCGAGCTATTGCCAGGGAATGAGGTTAGGGAGCAGACGACTTTATTAGTGACGCCATCCACTCAAACTCGATAAACAATACAATGTTACTAAGCTATATACAAGTTACAATTCTATAAGGATAAGAAGCATTGAATTAAATACCTAACGAATAGTTCCTCGACTAACAAAAGGTTTTTTTTTAAATATAATCTGGTTAAAAGCAGTTTGCTTTTTATTTATATATTTACAAGACATTAAGTATTATTATAATGTAATACGCTTCAAAATCTTAAGTAAACATTCTCGTGAGACAATTTTCACTATCTGACGCTAGCGATGCAAAACGCCTAGCAAATATTTACAGCAAACATTCACAAGAGAAACTATTCGCGTCAGAGCTGTTAGGAAGACATTTTATTGTTTTAGTTTGAACTACTGGAAATTACAAGTTTTAAACACAGATTGTTGTGCTATTAAAATAACTATTTAAGTCTTTTGTTTATATTTAGTAACTATTGCGGGTTTTTTTCACGTAATTTAATTAAAAATATTCAGTTTCTTGGTATTCTCGTAAATATTAAGTATCTTTGTGATTCTGAATATTAAAATTTATCATCATCACAGTCTGTGATGTATTATTTATTTAAAATTGAAACATAACGTTTACAACACACGTTATAATATTACATAACAGCAAATTGCATGACATATTATCAAATAAGTATTGACCTTTGTTATAATTTGATCATCGTTTAAAATAACAATAACAACAGTTTGATTAGTCAACGTAAGTCTAGATAATAAAAATCCCCGTTTACGCTTGTTGTAGTGGGAAATTGAAACAAAACGCAGTTTTACAGTTAAATAAAGAGTTCAGTGTAAGCCTACAGTAAACAGAAGGCAACAAACAGAAGGATACACCAGACATAAAAACAATATACAGATAAAGTCAAGTTGTATTTACCAAGATATCGTCAGCATGAAGTTGGAAGTTTGTTTCGTTCTTTCTTTAGCGCTGTCTCTACTTTTCGTAAGTGATGCTCGTCAGTTTAGCAGATGTGAACTGGTACGCCAATTACGAAGTCATCGGTTTCCAGCAAACAAGCTAAGACAGTGTACGTAAAACATGTTTTTTTTAATTAATAAAAGGTTCCGAAAAATGTTAATTTTGTATAGGATGAAAGTTTTTATTAATTAAAGCAATTTGATGTCATATTTACTCTTACCTTTTAACACCAAAACATTACGTTACAGCTAACAAAAACAAATGACAATTAGAATTTTATAAAAACAAAACACAACATTTGTAAACGACAAAAGAAAAGTAATTTTCTAACCAGTAATTTTTTTTTCTTTTTAATAACATAAGGTGGCAAACGATCAAGCGGCCTCTTGAATTTGCCGAGAAACATAGATAGGATATTTATCCTTCGTATGCGTCTCCTTCACCGTCAAATCCACTTTTGCTTACCATCCCTACCTTATAAGAAAATACTGGGAAGGCAAAGGGACTAAAATTAGACCTTCGGAACCATACTCATCAGACGAAACGCGATTTTGCACCCCCTTCTAATAAGGAGGGGGTGCAAAGAACATATTCTTAATCACAACCTAATTTTTTAATCTTTTTGGATAGTTTAATAAGGTTTTCATGGTTTCAGGGGTATGTCTGATCGAGAGTCACAGCGGCGGTCGCACCAACCTCGTTAGTAGAGTCAATAAGTCTGGACACCGCGAGTACGGTCTGTTCCAGCTTAGCGACAGATTCTGGTGCAGCGATAGCGACCTACCGGGGAAGGACTGTAACGTCACTTGTGCTGGTATGGCGAATTAATTAATCAGATTTAGAATTTCACAATATATTTACTATAAAATCCTATTGGCCAAGTACTGAAATAAATCTTGAAAACATAGCTCGATAAGCACCGCTAACAACCTCACAGACGTGATTTTTTATAGGAATACTAGCTTTCGCTCCGGAATCAGTGGAATTAAAAAAAAAACAAAAGCAAGTAGCCTGTGTGTTCTTCCAGACTTTACTCTACATATATGCCAAACTTCATCCAGATCTGTTAAGCCATTTAGGCTACAAACTCTAACAAACGTCCATCCATCTAAACTTTCGCATTTACAATATTAGCAAGAGTTTAACCGTTATTATTAATCAATTCATGTCTGGTGTTAAAGTTTACCTCGAGAATCGTGTAATACCACACTCTCACCATCTGCTGCTGCTGCCATCTGCTATAATTCAAACTTTTTATTCCAGACCTCCTTACTGATGACATCACAAAGGCGGCGAAATGCGCCAAGAAAGTGTACAAACGTCATGGATTTACCGCTTGGAATGGATGGAGCAAATGCCAAGGCTCATTGCCTGATATTAGCTCCTGCTAGAAAATCCTTTGAAAAACAATATTTATAGATCTTGTCTACAGTGTAATCTCAAGTAATATTAGGGGTAGCAGTCATAATAATGGGTGTAGTAATGTAGCATTCTTGGTATATCTTTCCTTTGCCTATTTCAATTTTGATTATAATAAAACATATATTAACTCTGTTTTAAACGTTTTTTTCCAATGCCTAAATCTTTATCGAATAGAAAATCTAATTTATTGGAGATCTGTCTACTATGTACTTATTAATAATTATTCGTCTTTTAGTATAAAAGGCAGCTAATTTTGCTAATTTGATTATTCTAAATATATGACAACAAAAGCGTCGACAATCGATGATCTGTCTGAGTCTAGAGTAGTGGGGAATATCATTAACATGGTGTTATTCGAAGAAGCTTTTATGTCTATTTTACATTTTTTATTACTAGGGGTTGTGTAAAGATTGACCTCTTCCCAGGAACTTTGGCGACGGTCATGGCAACAATGTCAACGAATGCCAATATGTAAAACGCATACGTGTTGTATAATTATTTTTTATTCACAAAGATTATATGTTGAAAATATATTTTTCTGACAATAATGATAGACAGTTTTAATTAACATATTATTCTAAGAGCAATCTCTTATTCTCTATATCTCATTTATTTCTTGCACGACTTGATGTCGGGTAGAGGTTTTCCACGGCACTTATTCTTCCAGCCGTACCAGGCGTCGAATCCATGTCTCTGGTAGATCTTCTTGGCACAAGCTGCAGCCTTCGAAATGTTTTCAGTGATGAGTTCTGCATAAAATCAGAGAACCATTATTTAAAAAAATAGTTTACAAAAAAGTTTCCGTTAGAGTAAAACAATTTAAATTTAAGGACAAAATTAAGGACCACTAGAGTCCAAGTAAAACGCATAACTGTTTACTCGCGCTTTGATCCTTATGAACTTATATGGAGGTGAGCACACTACTCGATTTCTAGTTGTGCAACTAAACAGTTGAATTGGCTGCGAAACAATCGGACAACAGTCGTGCGATAGTTTAATCAAAGATGTCCGCCCACTCTAAACCAGACAAGGCAAGAATATAGTAAAAATAAGAAAATCTCTGACTCACGTTTACAGGTGACGTTGCAATCTTTTCCAGGCTTGTTCGTAGTACTGCACCAATACCTGTTGTTGATCTGGAAGAGGCCGTAGTCTCGAGAACCATCGCTGTTTGGTTTGCTTACGATGTCCGTGCGCCGGGAACTCTCATTTTCCACTAAACACACCCCTGCAAGTGACGAAAAGAGAATTCTTTAGATCTAGTTGTATTTTTAGGCAGTCCAGATTTGAGTGCTACCGTCCTAGGCGATTACTACGGCGCTCTCAATTTTAACAAGGCTTTTTTGAAGGGTTCATGTAAGGCCGTGTAATTCGCACATCTGTTCCTCCCATTTCTGTTCAGAGCCCTACCCTAAAGCTGGTACTAGATAAAGGAAAATTACACTATGAGTCTGATGGATTCTAAGTGACAGCTAGGTTATTACAACGTTGATAGGTTTCCCGAAGGACGGACCAATTGTTTGAACTACTAGTTTTTAAGCGGGATTCCCGTCACTGTAGTCGTAAAGCGACTTTCTTTATGTAGACAAAGAGATACAGCAATGACATTTACTGATACCTAATTATGACTTAACACATATAATCACTAATACTTAATCATTTGTTTTGGATTAATAAACCAGCCAGTTATCAGATATCTATTTTTAAAGCAATTGATTTTTATCGAAAAAAGAGGTAAACCAAGAATTAGTTCAACTGTCACAAATTTAAGAAGCACCGAAGTACACTTAACAATCTCCATTTCCAGAAAAGAATATTCTTAATTTCAAAATAACACGTCAATCATTGACAGGCTTTTTGTTACAGTCTTAACAGAATACATTAAAAACCACTTTAATTTAATCAACCCACGTTGTACCAAAATAAAACATCTACTTACAGTCTCTCATTTTGTTCTCCGGAAATCCATGCTTTCTTAGCTGACGCACCAGCTCGCACCGAGATAGCTGTTTGGCTTCACATTGGCTGAACACAGCAAGCGCAAATAATACTACGATAAATTTCATGTTAACTGTTACAGAGTAATGCTTTGAAGACTATGTTCGAATGTTAGAAGCGATAAAAAAACGTGTCCTTAAATACTGATCTGAGCTGGAATATTTCAGTTCAGGGAACTTGGGAATCCCAGGGTGTTGTAATCAATAATGAATAGGACTTTGATGAGGGAAGTCTTAGGTATCGATGTATGAAATCGAAAGATAAAAATGTATTACATTACGGGTACACAAAGGAAAATTGTACCATTTTATTGGACCTTCGTTTTGCACTAGACCGAGAATTACGTCCTCAGTGATTAATAATTTTTGACGAGATTTAGAATTTTATTTTTATAATAAAAGGGCGCAAACGAGCGAGAACACTGAGGTGGTTAACCATATGATAGATATGGAAATTCAGATTAAGAAAGAAAATGATGATTTTTAAAATACTTTGACTACTACTCTAAAGAATTCTATATATTGAATGTAAAAATAATTCCTTTTTTAAGTATTTACTAGTCACGAACATTCTATTAAATGTTATCGAAATCACTATTTTACAATTATCTATAAAATGTCTATGTGTGGTATTTCCAAAGAATATTTCCTAGGTTGTGTATATCTTAAACAATTTTTTAAATTTGTAACACTTGACAACTATATCATTGTTACTATACTTTTATACGAAATGCAATATTTTTTCTTTTTAATCTTTGTCTTAACTTTATTTTATCTCAATTTCGTAATAATTGTATCAAACCTATTAATTATTAATAAATGAAGATGATTAATAATGGCTTATCGGTTTTCAACCCTGCATTATGTGCAACCATCAGTTTCTTGACGTATTACGTAGTGTCTCCAGTATTTATATGTGATGTTTTCTTATTTGTATCATTCGTTAAAAGGATATCAAATATTTCTGACAACCTAACCTAAAAATCAACATGAAACTAACTATAGTACTGTTCGCTTTAGGTGTATTGAGCCAATGCGAAGGCAAACAACTGTCAAGATGTGAACTGGTACGAGAATTAAGGAATCATGGCTTCCCGCAGAACAAACTGAGAGATTGTAAGTTAACCTTATACAAGGATTGATAAAAAACAGATTTTAAAAGTAACTATTTAACTCTATTGTGCGTTTCTGTAGCAGTTAGCAGCCGAAACAGGAAAATCATGTGGGAATGAAATTAAGCAGTGTTTGTTTTAGAGACTTTTCAGTTTTTTTCTTTATTTACTAATGTATCTTTTACCATTCCAACTAAGCTCTAGGTTTGTGCTAGAATATGGTTTACAATAATCGAATGGATACGAACCCACGATCACGTGAACAGAAATCCGTACCAACCATTAGGCTATTGTCGCTTAAAATACGCAGCACTGATCCATTTATACACTAAATACTATCTGTCCTACCTTTCCAGGGGTATGTTTGGTCGAGAGTGAAAGTTCCCGTCGCACTGACGTCATCGGCAAACCAAACAGCGACGGTTCCCGGGACTACGGACTGTTTCAGATCAACAACAAGTATTGGTGCAGTACTACCAACATTCCCGGAAAAGACTGCAATGTTACTTGCAATCGTTAGTTCTATGGTTTCTTTTACACTTCATTAGTTTTTTATCTATTGTTTATTGGCTTTGATTATTAAAATTATTTTTTTTTAAGTTTTAGAATACCTATGGAATGTTAAAGGAAAGTTATTTGTTACTTAGATTTAAATAACGTCCTCTATATTATCAGTCTCCGTTCTATAGATTTGTGTTACTTACGATTGACAGGTATTCAGATCGTCTCACGAATTGAGGGTTACTTCAAATAGATTTACCTCAAAACCCTATTGATGTTACTGTCATTTTCATATAGTGCTTTTGTTTTTCATTGTTTGAAACACAAACAAATGTGATTGCTTCCGCTACATTAGATATTTTTCACAATTGCAAGCGATTTATAGATTTTTTATAATTTTCATATTGACTTTGATATTATTTCAGAACTCATAACCGACGATATAACGAAGGCAGCAGCTTGCGCTAAGAAGATCTACCAGAGACATGGCTTCGACGCCTGGTACGGTTGGAAGAATAAGTGCCGTGGAAAACCCCTGCCTGATATTAGCTCATGCTAACATGTAATATTGTATCCGAATTACATAGCTAAATAACTAACAATATTATCATATGATTTATGATAATCATAACGTTTGTAAATAATCTTTTTTTTTTATTATTCTCTCAATCTCTCCAATGTACTTATTCACTTTATTGACAAATATAAAATAAAGATTTTGTGTGTATACATGTTTATTTATATATATACTAAGATTATAAAGACTTGTATTTTTGTATGTATTGAAATAACTCAAAAATTACTGGACCGATTTAAAAAAACTCTCGCACCATTAAAAAACTACGTAACGACTGAGTAACATAGGCTACTTTTTACTTTTTATTTAGATCTACGCGGACGCAGTCGCAAACATCAGCTAGTACATTATAATTTTTATACTTAGCTTAATTTCGATTCGTAGTAAATCAAAAATGGTGCTATTTTAGAACTTATAGACGATATTACTATGGCTTCAGCTTGTATAGAAGATAGATATGCTTTCTAAGGCTGTTATGACTAAAATAACAAATGTTATGAAAATCATTTACCCAAAATAAAATGCTGCAACAAATACACGATTTACGAGTACCTGGCTACATAAATACCAATTATAGCGTACTAGCTTTCGCCCGCGACTCCGTCCGCGTGGAATTAAAAAAAAAACAAAAGTGCGTAGCTTATGTGTTCTTCAAGACTATCCTCTACATCTATGCGAAATTTCATCAAGACCCGTTCCCCCGTTTGGGCTACAAACTGTAACAAACATCCATCCATCCATCCAAACTTTCGCATTTATAATATTAGCAAGAAGTAAGATTAGTAAGATTAAAAATTATAATGTTGAAAAAATTACTTCATAAATGTTCCCTATGTTTTTATTATTCAAAATAACCTCAAATTATTTCTCACTATACGTAATAGATAAGATTATCATGCGATATTTTCAACTAATCTATATTTTTACATTTTGAAAATTCTTAAAAATAAATCAATTTATACATAGCATAAATATGTTGTTTTTAAGCAATTGAAACATCCTGTGTAACAAAAACATCAACTATCGGTAACCTATAACAATTTTTAACAATGGTTTTTCCTTACATCTAATTGATTTGCTTGTTTTCTTCTATTGACATGTTTTTAACAAAAGCTTCCTTCATTTGCATGACGAATTAGTATTCCCATTCTGTAATGAATTATCCAGTCCAGTATTTATACTCGTCGTTTAACGTTGGTACAACATTCGTTACTTCGAATAACAAATATGAAGTGGTGTATCTTTCTTGTAACCGCTGGTATATTCCTTGCGTGTGAAGGCAGAGAGTTATCGAGATGCGACCTGGTTAGAGAACTGAGGAGATACGGGTTCTCGGAGAATCAAATGAGAGATTGTGAGTTTTTTCTTTTTTTATATACAAAAAAGGGGGCAAACGAGCGGAGTGAACACCAAGGTGGTCAACGACGCCCATGGACATCCGTAACACCAGAGGAACTACAGATGCGTTGCCGGCCTTTGAGGAAATGATAGGCTCTTTTTATCTATACTATCATAATAAAGCGTAAACACACACTTCTTTGTTGCCTAAGATGTCAGCAATCACAGGATGTTTTTGAATAATTATTCTTTTTAATAAGAAGCCCTACATTTACGTCACGCTTTAGGTTATGTATTTTCACGCCATTAAACTTAGGGGGTAAATATTTTGAATCAAAACCCTAATGTAGGGAATAGACCATTAGTTGTTGCAAACATCAAGAAGCAAGATTGCCGAGGTTAGTCATGTGATATCATTTTGACATTAGCTATTGATAATTTGACAAATCTAAACAATGAAACAAAATTTTCATAATTTTATGCGGATCAAGCCGCGTCGGAACAGCTAGTTTATAATACAAGGTGACAAACGAGTAATGGCCACCGGAACTCGAAGCGACTGCTGTTCATACACATTCGGATTTGCATATGTGTTGCTTATCTTCTGCCTGGTCGTGGTATCACAAAAGATTTTATTGCCAGCTCTACCACTGTTCGAATGTATTAAAAAGTAAAACCACAGTAAAAAGTACAGTAATATTTGATAAAACCATGTCTTGTCTATCAGGGGTATGTCTCGTGGAAAATGAGAGTTCCAGACGTACGGACGTAATCGGAAAACCGAACAGTGACGGTTCCCGAGACTACGGCCTGTTCCAGATCAACGATAGATACTGGTGCAGCAACACCAATACACCTGGCAAAGATTGTAACGTCACTTGCAAACGTAAGTTCTTAGACTATTAAGATTTTAGGTGCAGCTGAGCGTAAAGGGAAAAGGAGCGTAGCTGAGGATTGAAGGGTCTAAAGTCCTAAAGTAAAATAAAGGAAGTATGAGAATATTTATTTAGTATCGTTGCAGTCTAAAGTAATCGTGTATTACAATACATACTCGTATATTGTCTTTGTTTAGACAAAGCTCTGTCTTAGTCCTATGCAATTCTTGCAAATTGTCTGGTAACATTCCAACGTGTAAAGTATGTGATAGAAATATCGGATTTTGTTACCTTATTTTTTACCTTCATTTTTAAGCTATCTGAGCCTATATCAGCCAGTGGTGGAACAGACCTTAAGTCTCTTATGGAAATAAGACAATTGTGATAGACTTTTTGTCACGTTGTCAGTACTTGACTTAAATGTGAAGTTCATAAGCACACTAAGATATATAGATAGTGAAGTCTCAAATATATTAATATGTATAAGTTAATTTGATGTTTATTAGATTTTTATCTAATTCATGAAATAATTTGTGTTTGACTTTCAGAGTTGTTGTCTAACAACATACGGGATTCAGCAGTTTGCGCTCAGAAGATATTCAGACGACATGGCTTCAACGCTTGGTACGGCTGGGCAAACCGCTGCCGTGGTAAACCTTTACCCGACATTAGATCCTGCTAGAACAAAGAAAAGTATCTTATAAAAATATACAAGAATATAATATGCAAAAATTCGTTTAAAATCCTTTAACGATTCCTGGATAATTCCTCTATTCCATCTTCCACAAATTCCAGCCAGATTGTAACTATTTCGATCATAAAATAGTAGAGATAAAATCTTTGCAACTGGTGTATCTCTACGTATTACAAAAACGCTAACTTACGGTGAAATTCTATGAACACAAAATCGAATGAAGACTAATCTATTGAGGTTTTTTTAAAAAAAAAATAACCAAGTGGCAATCGTATGAAAAAATGTTAAAGTTAGCAAAACGCAATAGTACATTCATAGGACAGTAGGCCACATAAATAATATACTGTCGGATTTCTATTACCAAATACTAAAGCATCTACACACTTGAAACTAAACTACCGCACAACTGTTTAGTCTCGCTTTGATTCCTATGGACTTGTATGGAGGTCACACTACTCGATTTTTAGTTGTGCAACTAAACAGTTGAATTGGCTGCGAAACAGTCGACAATCGCACAACATTTGTACAATTTAGTCAAAGATATGCGCCCTTTGTATTTGCTTGATTCTAGCTCAGTTTTTTTAAACAAAAACAGTTTTTTTAAAAAACAATATATTATATCCAATTATTTAATATCACATAAACATTTAAACTCACATTAAATATTTAAAAAATTACTATAAAGAGATTATAAAATCTTCGGTTTTATCCTTTCTTCTTATCTTCTAGCAGGAACTGATATCGGGCAGAGATCCCTGACACTTGTTCCTCCATCCATACCAAGCTCTGAATCCGTGGCGTTTGAACACTTTCTTAGCGCATTTCGCCGCCTTCGTGATGTCATCAGTTATGAGGTCTGGAAAACAATATACAAATATACAAAAAGAACTATTGAATTTTAATATACGAAATAAATTATGGAAACAGATATTTTGTGAAATCAAAAATTTTATAAGTATTTCTAGCTACATTAATCTTACTAATATTATAAATGCGAAAGTTTAGATTTATGGATGGATGTTTGTTAGAGTTTGTAGCCTAAACGGCTGGACGGATCTCGATGAAACTTGGCATAGACGTAAATGATAGTCTGGAAGAACACATAGGATACTAACTTTTTTATGCCACCCGGACGGAGTCGCGGCGAAAGCTAGTATATATATAAAGCACTAGCTTTCACCCGCGATTCCGTCCACGTGGAATTAAAAAAAATAAGTAGCTATATGTCCTTCCAGAATATCATCTACATCTATACCAAATTTCAAATCAGTTCAGTAATTTAGGCCACATACTCTTACAAACATCCATCCATCCACCTAAACTTATTACTTCTAAGTTATAATACTAGTGAGATAGTAAGATTATAAAAATTATTATTAACTTGTTTTAACTATTATCTCTTTCATTCGGACAAAAATATGTTTTAAAGTGTTGGTTGTGTTCAAGTTACTTACCAGCACAGGTGACATTGCAGTCTTTACCAGGAGAGCTTGTGTTGCTGCACCAGTACTTATCGTTGATCTGGAACAGACCGTAGTCCCGGGAACCATTCTTGTTTACTTTACCGATCTTGTGCGTGCGCCCGGAACTCTCGCTTTCCACCAGACAGACCCCTATTAATATAAGTATAATAAAATAAATTAAGTCTATTCAAAAGAGAGAAAAATGATTAACAAATATATGCAAAATCTGTATAAATATTTTAGAAATGCGTTATCTCTAAAATAGAGTTTGTTATCGCAAAACGGACGTAAGGTTAAATCAAGTTTAAATCATACTATCATACTTCATACTATTATAAATGCGAAAGTTTAGATGGATGGATTGATGTTAGAGTTTGTAACCTAAACAGCAAAATGGATTTCGATGAAATTTGGTATGGATGTAGAGGATAGTCTGGAAGAACACATAGGCTACTTAGTTTCGTTTTTTTAAATTCCACGAGGACAGAATCGGAAGCGAAAGTTAGTACTCAATACGCGATGAAAATGATTGTGTCCAGCCAGTTATATATACTGTTAATTCATTAAAAATAAATTATTTTATCTACTTACAATCTCTCATCTTATCCTCAGGGAAACCATGACTCCTTAACTGCTGTACCAACTCACATCTATTCAGGAGTTTAGCTTCGCAATGTAAGAACACGCCGAGAGAAAACAAAATTATTAAGAACTTCATATTGCGTAGATATTGTGAATTATATAGAAACAACGCGTCTGCACTTACAAAGAGATGTAGTTACTATGACGATTGTAGCATCTTCGTAGCTCTTAAATATGTGTTATGCATGTGTTGGGTTTATTAAAATATGGAAACGGGGACTCCCAGTTATCATACACCGTACGGCTAAGGTTATAATGTTTTGAACTCTTACTATGTAACTATAGTGTGTACTAGCTGTTGCCCACGACTTCGTCCGCGTGTAGTTCAAAAGTTTAAAATTTATTTTCGCCCCTTGTTCTATTACCTAACTTATTAACTTAGTAGTTATCTACGTAATAAAAGAAATCTACTGATGCCAGATTCTTAACTAAAGTTCTAACACGTTTAATGTAACATTTTTTCTACTAAAGTATAAGATGGCGGGTTGATGGCATTGAATATGTTTGAAGTTTGTTTTTAATTTTCTGTAATTTTTAAAAATAAACACCAGTTGTTCTTACTTTATTAACATTATTTAACATTCCTTAAATAAATTAAACTTACCAACCACAGATGTTATTTAAATTCCACACGACAAAGTCACGAACAACAGCTAGTCGTAATAAAATGATAACAGGAAAATAAATGATTTAGTTAGCATTAACGTCCGGTGTTTGTGATCTCAATATCAGTTGAGACGCGGTGAGTCCCCGATCCTCGCGCTGCGGTTAACCTCATTCAAGACGTTTACGAACAAAAGGCGTTGACTCGCCTTTTTTATTCAATAACATTATAAACACACGCCTTTTAACCGTCTCCGACTTCCAAAAGAAGATTCTCATGTAAAAGTAAAATTAAAGGATAAAAATCTACAATGACAAAGTTTTAAAGACACTAAAATATAAATGCGTGCGCATTCATACATTACATAAAAGAGCAGGCATCCACCGGAATTCGCCAAAGAAGCGAAGCCATCGCTGCCCATAGACGTAGTTCTTGTTGAGTAAAAGTTAAAAATACACATTTGGTTATGAGTTAAACAATATTAATTATAATTGTTGAAAACAGGCACTTTAACCTCGACCCTGGTAATAGCAAAGATAAATTTTAAATAAAAAAAATTTGCGCGGCAATATTAAAGTAATATTGGATACTTTTTTCTAAATAAAAGATTCTTACAAGTGATACAAAATATGATCGAAATCGCATATTTTACTAGTTTTTTCACGCCAATAGTTACTTATTATTTACATGTTAAATGTTAAGTACCAAAAAAAATAAGCAACATTTGAATTCCGTTTCCTGCAGTCAACAAACTATCAAAGAGTAACGAGTTCAGCAATTTACTCAATTTATATTTAAGGTAGATCATTACTGACGGAAATAAGCCAAACGATTCTTTAAAACAAATGTTTTTATTTTCTTACTAAACTACATAAACAATTAAACACATTGTTAAAAATACTTGAACTATTTCGAAACATTATGTTTTTAATCTATGGCCATAGTATTTGACAAATAGTTGTCATGTTGTCAAATGTCAAAGTCATTTGAAAGCAACAATCAAATCAGAATCAAACAACAATCGTCGTCGCTTCGAGGCATCGAGTATCTGGGATCCATAGTACCGGGTATCTGAGAGAACTCTCGCTACTAAAACAACTTAAACGCGGTTACTTTTCCTATATCTTAATTTAGCTTGTAATGTAACAACGACATCAACAGAAAAAATGAGAATCACAAACGTAAGACGTGGTAGAATTTTTCGCATAGCTGGTATTTGTGCGGTATTACTAGTTTTGATTTATGCCCTGCAAAGTTGGACAAGTGCAAACGGCGGCGTGGATACAAGTGAATTTATCAATTCTGACGCCCAAAAAAGTTATTACAAATTCCATCGAAATGTGTATCCGGCGCTAAACACTGGTAAGTAATAAAATCGGTATAATTGTGCAATGTGGTAACTTTACAGTTATGTGGCCCAATAGTAAGTCGTGAACGTATTGTTTTTATTTGACACACGTGAGTATGAGAACCGGCCTTTAAATTTGTAAACATTCATAGCAGTAAAAGTTGAATTAGGTAGTCTTTTTTTTTCATTATAAAACTGTTGTTATTATTTATTCTTATTATAATTTCTAAACTTTAAGATTACTTAAAGCATGCTTTTAGTTATTTACAGTTTTCTAATAACATATTCCAAGCTAGATATACTATTATATTACAATACTAGCTGTTGCTCGCGACTTCGTCCGCGTGAAAAGAAAAGATATAGCCTATGTTACTCGCAGATAAATTACCTTTCTGATGGTGAAAGAATTTTTAAAATCGGCCTAGTAGTTCTTGAGTTATTCAAATACATACAAAAATACAAATCTTTCCTCTTTATATTAGAATAGATTACTACAACTGCAAGGTGTACAAGCTAAAAAAAGGTTAATTTCGTTTTAATTATTTTTTCAGAATTAGGTAACTTTGAACCTAAAACAAGAAGATCAGTAAGCGGTCCAGGGGAAGAAGGGAAGCCATACCATATGTCCCAAGACAGGACTAATGACATCAGTGACTCGGAGAGTGAATATGGCATGAACATTGCTGCTTCAGATGACATAGCTATGAACAGGTATGTTACTTAGAGATAAAAGTACAGTCATGGAAATTTGCAGTGTTCCACTTACAAAAAAACACCTTATTTTTTGCAACAAAACAAACTATCTCTTCTTGCAAACAACGAATTATAACAGTTTAGTTATACTTAAACATGTATATATATATGTTCATGAAATTTAAAAAAAATGAATTTTCACCTGCCAAAATAAGGATCTTTTGCATAAGTCTTCATCCACTTGAATATATCATAAATAGATTAAAACCTGTATTCTAATTTATAAAAAAAAAATTAAAAAAAGTACTTAAAACCAGTCATTTAATTTTAGCAAGAATGTAATAATTGATTTATTGCAATAAGTATGGTTAATTGAAAATCATTAGACAGCTAATTAAAAAAACGAGAGTTTAGTAATAATAGTGCTTTTTATTGCACACATTTGTAATTAAACATTATTATACCATTGTAAAATTTTAACAAAAAAAAAAGTTATAGTTAGTTATTGAAAGGAAACAATTTTAAATTTTTTAATCTTGTTTTTAAAGACTTATCTTGAATTTAATTGTATTTTCATGTTTGTACCATACAATCAGTTTAGGTTTTTTCTTAACTATTTCTGATAATTACTTAGATAATATTATCTATTAACATCCAATTGTTCTTTTTTTAATATATGTTAACTTATATTACTTGAACTTAGATTTATTAAATGATTTTCTTTACATTTATTTGAACTTATTGGACAATGTGCAAGGTCAAATAACGGTATAATATCTATAAAGTTTAACATTTAGGCAACTAATTACTCCAAGGTTCAAGGGTGATGAGTTTCTTGTAATCAATTATTAATTTAATTTCAATATTATAGCAACTTCAACAGCAATGTTGAATTTGTACAATTAGGTCAGATTGGAAAGCAAACCATTGTAAAATGTGTGTGTCCATTTTAAAGCTTGTTCGATTTTTGTAATCTTATATACATGTACACGGTATAAAGTTAGGAATAAACTGAGCATAAGTAAATATTAGTACTAATATTAAAATGTTTGCTTATACTCAGTTTATTCCTAAGTTTAACTTAATATCCCGTTTATTTGTAAGGTTGGCAGAATTTAATGATTTTAATTAACAATTCGACTGTAAATCATAGACGGAACATTTATCTTTTTCAATTACCGATTTAATCCAGGTATGAGAGATTTAATATCACGCTTATTGTGCCTCATAATGTAAATTATACAAGACAGAATAAGATACGAAGAGCGATAAGAACGAAACGAATAGATTTCATGAGACAATACTTATTTGAATCACCCGTTTAATTAAGTATACTTCATATTACCATATTAATACTATGAATTCGTAAGTTCGGATCAACGGCGGATCCAGGAGAGGGGGGTCATGACCCCCCGTGACCTGGTTGGTCAAGAGCTTGACAAAATATATTTACATATTTTGCCAAGCCCTTGACTTGACCACGACTATGTGACCCCCCCTGGCGAAGCTGGATCCGTCCTTGCTTCGGATGGATGGATGTTTACTATTACGTATATCCAAAAGTCAAGCATAGTCTGGAAGAACACATAGGTTTCTTAAAACGTTTTTTTTTATTTCCGCGGACGGAATTGCGTGCAAAAGCTTTTACATAATTATAGATGGATTTTTTAAATATGGTATCTTTTCCAACCTAGATCGATTCCCGACACTCGGCTGGAGGAGTGCAAATTCTGGCATTACCCCAAAGACCTGCCGACCACGTCTGTCATTATTGTGTTCCATAATGAGGGATTCTCTGTGCTGATGAGGACGGTACACTCCGTTATCGATCGCTCGCCTCCTGATATACTGCACGAAGTTGTATTGGTAAGTTTAAAGTAATTTAGGTATCTAGTTTTGATTTTATGTATAATCTTTGTTTGCCTGTGAACTCTAGTTTTCTAGTTTATTTAAGCATTAAATGAACGTAATATCTTGGTTAGTTATCTAAGCAAATAGGGACCTCTTTCCTTTTATTGAATTTAGAGATTTGTTAGATAATCGTTTTCGTTTTAGGTCGACGATTACTCGGATAAATCCAATTTAAAAGATAATCTAGATCAATATATAAAAAGATGGAACGGTAAAGTCCGCTTGATTCGAAACCCACAGAGGGAAGGTTTGATTCGAACTCGATCGCGTGGGGCGCAAGAAGCTACCGGTGACGTCATCGTATTCCTAGACGCGCACTGCGAGGTCAATATTAACTGGTTACCTCCTCTCTTAGCTCCAATATACAGGGACTATAGGATAATGACAGTACCAGTTATAGACGGAATCGATCACAGGACATTTGAATATCGACCGGTATATCAACATGGTACAAATTATAGAGGCATATTTGAATGGGGCATGCTTTACAAAGAGAACGAAGTCCCTGACAGAGAATCCAATCTTCACAAACACAAATCAGAACCATACAAGAGTCCTACGCACGCGGGCGGACTGTTCGCTATCAATAGAAGATATTTCCTTGAAATTGGCGCATACGACCCTGGTCTATTAGTCTGGGGCGGAGAGAACTTTGAGTTAAGCTTTAAGATATGGCAGTGTGGCGGCAGTATTGAATGGGTTCCTTGTTCTCGAGTGGGTCACGTGTATAGAGCGTTCATGCCGTACTCATTCGGAAGTCTCGCAAAGAACAAGAAAGGCTCCCTTATAACTATAAACTATAAGAGAGTGATAGAAACGTGGTTCGACGAGGAACATAAGGAGTACTTCTATACTAGAGAACCTATGGCCAGGTTTTTGGATATGGGTGATATTAGTGACCAGTTAGCGTTGAAAGAGAGGTTGAAATGTAAGAATTTTGGCTGGTTCATGGAGAATGTGGCGTACGACGTTTACGATAAGTTCCCGAAGCTGCCTAAAAACGTGCATTGGGGTATGGTGAAGAATAAGGCGGCTAGTGTCTGTCTTGATACTATGGGGAAAGCGGCTCCAGCGTATATTGGTAAGTTGACTCCGTCTACTTCTCTTCTTTTTTTTATTTTGCAACAGTTTTTTAAGTTTAATAATGTTAGGCACATCGAGTTGTCACGGCGCGGGCAACAACCAGCTGTTCCGTCTGAACGAGGCGGGTCAGCTGGGAGTGGGCGAGCGCTGCGTGGAGGCTGACAGCGACAGCCTCAAGCAGGCTATCTGCAGGCTCGGAACTGTCGACGGACCTTGGAGGTAATTCACTTAACTGATGCCATTTGACAGGAAATTAAGACTTTCTTAAAATTATCCCAGTGTCTATTGCATTATGTTGGAAACAAAACGAAAGATTTTGTAGCAATTTCAAGTGTGGCAGATTTGTTAACAGCTTCTATGAAAATATGAAGTCGCTGACTCAGGTGTTTCACTCGCACTTGACTTGTTGTTTCACTCTACATTACCTGGGTTCGGATCCCACCATGAACCAGTTTGGTATTCGATTTGTATATATATAATTTACCTCCAACATTGAGTCAGTTCTCTCAGTGCGGAAATATAGCTGGTGATGGATTCCTTAATCCGATAGCATTATCGACTTTGATGCAAAATTAACTTTATATTACAGCTATGATGAGATGCACAACCAGTTAGTGCACCGTCTGCACAGCCACTGCCTGACGCTGCAGCCGCAGTCGCGTGCTCTGTCCCTAGCGCCCTGCGACCCGCACAACACCTTCCAGCAGTGGACCATCGCACACAAGAAACCCAACTGGTGAGTCAACTACGCCGAAATACACGATACACGAATCTATGTAACGAATTTATTTTACTTAACAGACTACACACTTTTAACCGACTTCAAAAACGAAATTCTCAATTCGATCAGTATTTTATGAACAATGGCGGAAATAAGCAGTGTTCAAGAAAAATTGTTACTTTAAAAAAAACTCCGCCTCTTCCTACAAGTAACTAGTTAGACAACAGTGTGTGCAAACGAATGGGAATATAAAAAGAAACTAACCGTGCATCACTGATTCTTTTAGTACACATTTTTGTTCCACGTTTCGTTTTAAAATTATCAAATGATTGTAGTTTTTAAGTTGTAACACCGCCAGTTTCCCCGATTGTACAATAGATTGATGTTTTGCGTGATTCATTTTTTTATACGTAATTAAAAAGTTGCAAGACTATTAAGCCGTCATTGGTCCAACCTTTTTGAAAAACTATCAAGTAGTTTTTGAGTTTTTCTTATAAAGTTGTATTAAAAGTCGATACTTTATCTTGAAGTTGGTATTTCGTTTTTTATTAAAAATTTTAGATTATCAGCCGATAGTTTGATCAGGTTAGGCTGTCTATACATGTTTATACTAATCAAGCAGCAGATTAAAAGTCTGTAGTCTGTGAAGTATCTTATAGTAATAAGTTTGGACACTGCCCTAAGAATTACATCCAAAAGTATATTTACTTGGATTCAGTTAAAAGCAATACTAAACCGTCTCAATACTCTGTCATTAAAAAACCTATATATAATATGTTGTAAACTTTTATGTTCAATTCTAGAAACTTCCATTGGAATATTTTTACACCAAAGCCTTTACAATCCGTGACTGAGGGGAATCGAGGCTTAATTTCTTCAATATAACAATATAACACAAAACCATAATTCTTGCTTTCTCTAAATTTGTATTGTATTTTATTTACATTGATTATTTATTATTTGCTGTGTCCATATGAGTACTTAATTTACTATTTTAATTGTTTACAATATTTCTTTTCGTGTTAAGTATTCTGTTCTGTTTCTTACCTATTGTGTAATTTAATAACGTATGAAAAATGGGGAAAAAAGGGTTTTAACAAAAGTGAAAAATCACCAACATTTTTTCATCTAATAAAATATTTGGCTGAAAAGGAATAGCATGAAATTAATTTTACATGTTTAAATTAAAAATATTTTTATTTTAATTCTTATTTGCTCAAAGCTCCTATAAAATTAGCAAATTGCTTGGTGTTTAAACCATTGTTTTAAAGGTAGGTTTTCACGGTATGTGTGTTACGTCCGATACGAGTTAAAACTCGTGATCAGATTTAGATAAAAACTGGTGTTATAACCACTCAAAACAATCACAATAGGCATAGTTGTAAGATTATTGTATTTATTTTTAAGTTTCATCTAACATTGACAAATTAATCAGGAATAAAATGTTCCTACAAACATTACCTAGCTTGTAAAATAAAAAAATCAATGCATTTCATGTGTATTTCGAAAATAATCGACTATTAATTGTCATAATTAATTCAAAACGTAGATTTAATATATTACAAACGGCTATTAAGTTCAACTTGGTGTAAAATTAAAAGACTTTTGTTGGCTACAGTCAAACAAACATCACAAAAACTTTGAAATTATAGTTATATTTATTTTCTATTTAAAATATATTTTTAAGTTCGATTGCAGTCTAGTTTTATTTAAATTTAATTTTTAATGAGATTATTTTAATGTTATTTATATATGTATTGTATTTACATTCCCATATGAGGTTTATTTCGAATCTCTAAATATAACCACTCGCCTGAAATTAAAATTGCATTTAAAAATTAAATATCATTGTACAATATTTTTTTATTACTTTCTTTTATTTTATTTGTATTGATAATACTTAAAAATCTATTCTTTTATGAGAAACTTAAGCTGTAAAATAATTTTGTCATCTCAAGCGTAAATAAGACTGAAGTCTTGAAAAATGGCGGAAAGTGAGTTAAACAATAATTATACAAATAAAAATGTAATAATTTTAAGACCTGCTTTTGTAATGCGGAAAAAGGAAACCGTATTTTATTAATTCCGATGTAATTTAGCTGTAAATGTACACCAATTTCTTTCTTTGTAAATTTTCTGTGATGAATTTTTTATATATGTAATTCGATTTTAAAATAAAGAAATATTTATTGTTATCTTTGTTTTATTTTTTACTGACTTGCATTTGCGATTTGCTGCATTTTTCGTAAGACGCAATAAAAATCAAAGATGTTATCAATCCGTTTATTGTTTTATAAATATTTGTAAATTTAATAAATGTAACTAAGCTACTACATATTTTAAAGTTTTATTAAATTACTAGGTGCATTCAAAGACAATTTTACATTCCTTTTACTCATTTTTTTTATCTTACACACCATATTTTGCAGGAAATAATTTTACCACTAGTTTACTTAAGTGGTTTTTTAGCCAATTTTATGTGAAAATGCAATTTAACTATGAAGCAATTATACAAGATTAAAGCCATTTAAAAAAATGTCTTTATGATTGTAATTTAAATTATAAAAATAGCGAAAACAAGGGAAAAGTAATTTCGTTACAATAAATGTTTAAGTATCGTTAGAAGTGTTTTTCAGGTAATTTTTTGACCGACTTCCAGAAGGAGGTACTCATTTCGTCTGTACGTTTTTTTTTGTTAACTATATCTGTACATATACAAATAGCAAATGAAGTTTTTAAGCACCAGTTAGTAATTACGTTTTCAAATATCGGTTAATGCATTTTTTACCACAAAGAGTGATTTTATATTAGATATTTTTTTTACACTATGATGGAATTTTAGACCACAAGTCACTCCAATCATTTACACGATCCTTCACATCTAGTACTGACCAATTTGGTGACGGTACATCGGGGGCTAGCCAATTAAAATCATCCAAAGTATCCCAATTGTTACTATTTTTATCTAAAGATGACATATTAAAATGCTTCTCCAAATCCTCGTAGACTAAATTATATGGAGCTGTTCTTATCTCCATACAATCTTCGACAATACCTTTACTTGTTACGTGAAGATATATATCGCAGTTCGTAGAACTATGCATACGTAATTGTTGACAAGCTGTGACTATTTTACAATTTGTGCACTTCTCAATAAACACAGAAGATGTAACCGGGCCGGATAGAACAATACAATTATCCAAATTTGTCATATGCAATGTCCCCATGACACCTTTCAAACCGATTGTGCAATTCTTTAAATTCCTCAATGTCACATCTCGTTGGAATAACACATCGTTTTCTAGCAATAAAACCTTCCCGTCTTTAGAATCGAAACCGAATAACTTATCATCCCATTTATTACTGTCAATCTTAACACCATCCTGTTCATCCGATGATTGTTTCTGGTTGTCCGATTTGGGAAGTTTTTTCCTTGTGAATCCAAATTTCTTTCGAGGGACATATTGGTCTTCTAATTCGTAACATTTTGATTGTAAAGTCTGTACAATGCCCAAGTATTTCCGCATATTGAACTCTTTGAGAAAGAATGATGAAGTGACAACATATTTTTGCAGTTCATTGACTTCTCGTTTAATATTGTCAAAATGAGCAGGTAATATTGAAGTTTCTAACGTCGGTACTTGAGATAGCAACTGTTCTATATACTCGGATCTTATTTTAAAAGCTCCAGAGAAGAAGTCTTCGTTTTCATTAGAAGCGTCAACTTCTTCCCTAGCCTTGTGTGCCTTTTGTAGTTTTTCTAAGCGTTGTGCGTCCCTCCGACTCAACCTCTCTAATACAGAATGTCTATCGCTCATTTCTTCAACAATTCTTCAATCTTCTTACTTAAATCGGAATCTTGTTTAGCTGCTTCTTTAAGTACAGCTACTGTGTCACGGGAGAATTTCCTTGTGTCAGTATGTTTGGAGCCCTCGTCAAACTGTGAATAGAAAAGTAAGTTAGATGTTGAAGAACAAAAAAGGAATTCATATCCTTTTTTTCATGATTATGAAAACCTAAAAGGTTAATGAATAGGTTATTCAAACACATATGATCAAACTTGATGAATCAAAATAGAAGGATTAGAAGTACATTTCTTTTATGGTACTGATTCTGCTAAATTTTTTATCTCAATAGGATCAAAAGATAATTTTTCAATAATTGCAGTAAAGTAACTAATGAATGAACTATTCCCATGCTTAGTTTGAAAGGAGAAAATTCCAATTAACACTTTTACTATTGTAATTGTTAAATATTTACTCTTAGCCATATGCTGCCATGAGATTCCACTTTTCCATTCTCTTAACACAACTGTGGTATGTATTTTACACCGATATTTCATTAATAGAAACCCATGCTTAGCTAAACTAATGAGATGGAATGAAATAAAATAAATAATTAAACAGACTTGAGGACAATTTACCCACAACAAAATTGAATTCCTCAGCTAGGTTCTGAAGAAAAACCGTCCAGTCTTACAAATAAAATTAACCAGTCACCACCCAATTCCCAGTATACACTCTTGGAATATATAAAATCTCTTTGCTACATGCAACCCCATTATCAAATTTAGCCAAACATTTACAATAATAAACTTTATTCAAGTCTATTATACTTTAACATCATTTTTAATAGACAAACATTTCTTTGTTAGTCCTACATCAATTGTAGGTTTAACACAAAACAAGTTATTTACAACATTTAAAAGCCTTTAGTTCTAGTAACTACAAGTAACATAATTCCAAAAATTTTCTATAGCTAAGCCCAAATCAGTGACCAAACAACCAATTCAATACATTGAAATATAATGACCTTCTTAAGCAGTTCATCATCAGGTTTGACCACACAGTAAAGTCCATAACCGATGACTCCAAACGTGAATATCCAAAAACCGGACTTAATTGCAACACTCATCTCACCAAGTTATATCTTGCCTTCGCTAGACCACACTTTTTGATCTAACTCACGGGTCTTATGACCGCCAATGTATTCTCCAATACCGTAATATCCTTCCAAGATAAAGTTATAATTATTGTGCATATACAGGCGGAAATCTGAAAGTTAAAATATGGTCTAAGTATGGTTTAAAGAGTAACAAATGGGATAATAGAATGACTAGAATACAGTTCGAATTATCAAATCAAAAATATACATAGTAATTTGCTATCAACAAAAATCTTTTATTTTGTTGTGTACTTAAAAACTAATGGTTACTTTAATAGTTTAACTAAAATCTTTGCTATAAAATTATTAAACCCACCTCTATCGGTATTCAACTTGAAGTATAAACCGTACGATAATACAAATCCAATAGTTTCAGCAACAAATACAGTCCCAAGCGTATAGGTGAAAAATCTTTTATACGCCGGTTTCGGCTTTTTTGTAAGCATTATACGATTTTAGAATCTAAATTATTTAATCCCCCGATCGACCGAAAAATTAAAGAAATTTGGAACAAGACAAGATGTCGCATGCGGTGACGTAAGAAACAGATAACAACATGGTTTCTAACGACATGTTTTGCAAAGACTATAAATATCTACCAAGTAGAAAAAATACAATTTTATAATTTCGATATTTATCAATAGCTTCTTCTTTATTTTAAAGATATAGTAAAAATTATAAAACCCCAAATAACCTAATTATCGCGATATGTATTTGGCAAATAGATACTTTGTACATGACAACATTGTAACTTTTGCCGCGCGCGCGAAAATTGATTTAAGAGTTGGACAGCCGAGCAGAATATTCTGGAGGACTTCTAGACTCTCGATCATCGTTGCATATTCAAATAAAAGGATTTAAGAAAACTGCAATGTTTTAAATTAATGTTTATTAATATTATTGGTATAAACAATTCAGTTCCGAGTTTCAGTGTAATTTAGTCTTCATAAATTATTCTTCAGCTGAAAAAAGTGAATTCTTATTTTAGTTAAATAAATAAAATCTAAACATATTGTAAAATTTTTAAAATGTATTCTTTATTAAAGAAATCACAATGCGATACCTTCGTTATCTTCATCATCGCAACTGTCCGTACATTCACGTAACTCCGTAACTGAATACTTTTCAATGCAATCTTTAGGTATACGTTTGCTCAAAGGTCCCTGAAAATGTTTAGATATTAAATATAATAAAGAATATTTGCACAATTTTTTTTGTAACCATTTTTCAAATTAATTCGTACAATTAGCTCCACTGGCTGATTGTTGACCATGTGGTGCCGGAATCTCGTCTGGTAACCCTCTATCTGGTTGTCTATGCATTCCCCCTCGCAAGATAGCCACTCATCCCAGCCCGACATCGGACAATTTGGATCCGATTCTTCAGAAGCGACTTCCATACTTGTCCTAAAACAATCAGTTTATTCTGTAAAAACCACTATCACACATTTATCGCATTATTTCATGTTTTTATGGTTTAGCAAATGTACATAGGCTTTGTGTAAGTTAGTTAACTCACTCTTTTTGTGAAGTTGCAGGCGTCGAGGCGTACGCTTTTTCTGTCTCCTCGAACTCTGTCAATCAAGGATTATATTAATACAAAAAACGTCTTTCACTAAGTAGCAGATACTTAACTTTGTCTTATAGTGTGTCGCTATATTTCGTCATACCTTCAGTTTCAGTGGCCTCAGACGTAACTTCGGCAGTAACTATGCGCGCATACGTTCGTATGAGGTCAAATTGTAGCCGAGCGAACGGACGAACCTCTTCCTTGGGCACGGAAGGGTTGATTACCGCTGGAGAGATCGGCTGAGGCGGCATCGTCTCATCGTTTGAGGACTGAAAATAACTCGTATTTTACATCGTTAACCACAAAAAAAACTTTTATTTTAATAGACTTGGGTCTATCCATTGGAGATTTTATGATTGGAGACAAATACGTTTGTTCGTGGTTTCATTAACAAGTCTTTTTCTCTGGTATTCCTAGATACTGGTTGTTTTTTTTACTAGTTCACTGCACTGACTTACTTCAAATTTCTTCCCGCTGTCAGTGCCGGCGTCCATTGGATACAGGTTGAGTGTAAGATTGTTCGCCCAGGTACCGGTCCTGACGTCACATAGCTCCATATTGGAGACGCCGAGGAACCAGTCTGGAGAGGGGATGAGCGCGGTGACCAGAGACACGAGGTGATGCTCGCGCGTCACACGGAACATTGACGTCGTCATCATGTTCGTCTTTTGTGGAGCCACCGCTTTTATTATTGTCCTTATGTTGCGACCTAGCTATAAAATTAATAAGTTGTATATGACGTTCTTTTACATTGTCTATTCCAGTTTTGAATTTGCCAATCATGTAAGATGTTTAGCATGTGGTGTTTCTGTTCATTAGAAAAACTTGGTAGTTATTCTTACCTGCTTCATAATCTCAATCTCTAATTGCGTTGTGTTGCCCTGCTCCGCCAACCTCTTGAGACCTTCACTGGCATCCGAATTGTACTTAAACACATTGAACTTGCTATTATGTGAGGCACCTACAACGTCGCTGAATCTCGCCAAATCCTCGGACTCGGGGAACATCTTGGAATGCGTATTGTATGACCACATACCTTCGAAAGTAAGCTGGAAGAGATACCTATGTTGGTACATGTTAAATTTCATTAAAAAAACACATAGCACAGTTGGGTCTTGTCGAACAATCACCAAATGTTTGATTGGACAGATAACGTACATATGCTGAATATTTAACTGCGCAATAGAATTCTTTAACACGTGGAAAATCGTATATACCTGCTTCAAAAAATCTTATCGAAGACCATCCGTCGACTCTTATTTTTGGAAAAGATTAATCTTTGGTTCAGAGATGACTTTTCACTTAAAATGTATACGTACTAAATAGCGTGCGTCCTCCGGTGCAGTGCAATTATCGTTCTTAGTAGGCTGCATGTCGAGTACATTCCGCCTGTCTTCGCACACCCGCTTTGACAGCGGCCCATCCTGTCGGTACCACACGTCGCGCTTTACCGCCACTACTGCGTTAATAGTCACGCATTTGTTCTCCTTCTTTGGTGCTTTCCAGTAAGCCTGAAATGTTAAAACCCTAGATAAATGGATCCAACGATGGTCAAAGTTTACGTACATATATGATCCATATGTCAATCTGGAACTCTGGTTAACCACAGTCTTTGTGGCTTTACCTCGACGGAAGTCTTTGGAGTCAAATCGGTCTGGACCACGGAGTTATTACACTTCTTGTTGGGAGTCGTCTCCGAGTGTGGTGCAGGGAACACGAAGCCGGGGTCGAGATGCGCCGTTTTCTGCGGGTTCTTGTCGTGAGGCTTGATATCGCCGCGAGCCCAGATCGTGAACGCGATGAATGTTGAGACACCGTCCATCGCTGATAAACGAACTGTGGAAATTATTAAAAGGCGTGTTTTAGACTTTAATAATTTTCGTTCTAACTGAATGGTAGTCTAAATATCTAAGTACTTACTTGTATATTGTCGTGTGGGTATGTATTTGTCGTTAACTCCGATGATTTCTATTTTGAATCTACTGTCTGGTGGTAGCGGGTCTGTGGTGGTGCCCAGCGGCCGGCGGTCGCATAAAATATCCTCGCACGAACATATTGTTAATGATAATAATATAAGTACTGCAAACATATAACCTAAAAAAAATACAATAGAAAAGCTAGAAACTAACATCAGAAGATTTTGAACTGGAAGAAGGTATTCTGTAACGGTTGCTAAACGGATAAACGGATGGATGAAATGTGAAACTGCATATAACATTACTGGTCTTGTTAATTAGGACGAAGGGTGCATTACAAGACATTGTATACTAACGACTTTAACTCCTGAGTATCACTTAGAGGACACACGACAGTATAATATATCCTGGCTAATTTGATAATTTCGATTCCTTTTTAGATACTTCTGGTAATTCTCCAATAACTATCTTAGGATTGTGGAAGGATTGTAGGGTCATTTCATAGAAGTTCATCTGTTTAGGCTACAAACTTTAACAAACATCCATCATACATACATTTATAATATTGGTATGAATGTGGTTTCAGGACTAAAGGTTAAAGGTATTTAATCCTAAGTGAACTTGACGAAGTCAATAGAGGATACCAGACTCAACATATTTGAATCTGTGATCAGTTTTACTCACCCATTTATGTTATTTCCACTAACACGCACGACAGTCCTTTGTCCTGACGCGGGACATTCTGTCAGAATTAGACTACATCAACGTGATGGCGCCGGTTTATTAATTAATGTTAAATTGTTTCATCACGTTAAATTGTGCCGCCTACACCTTTCGACGCAATTCTCTATACCATTGTGATAGTCGATTTTAAACTTAATTTTTAGGACGATAAAGTATAGGTTATCATGAATTGTTGAGTTTTACTACACTAAAATTCATTGACAAGAACTGAAAGGGAAAACTACGTTCATTCAGCTTTTATTTGTATGAACAGGATAATAACATTAACTATTTGTAACATTATTGTTTTCTTGTATACCTATTACATATCCATCCTCATTCTTGAGAGACACGTAAACCATTAGGTAACACATAAAATAAAACTCCAATCTACTTGTATTAACCATTTATTTTATATTCTATAAGACCATAAAAAGTAAAAAATATCTTACTTAAAATTACGTATATGATTGTTAACGCGTTATCTAGTATGTGAACTTATGTAACTATGTAGCAATATCCCTAATTATTATAAAATTAAAAATATTCAATCAAAACTTGAAAGTGTGCCTTTTCCTCGACTGCCAGGGGTAGCCGGGAGCTATAGGCTCCATAACATGCCGCTCAACTGCAAATTAAAAAAAATGATTGATATAGTCTAATGAGGATATCCAAGTTGGTGAAAGGTATGAAAGGCACTGCTATTGCGATTAGTTATGTCTGATAATGTTAAAAACCTATATAGATGTAGAAAATAGTATAAGCGATAAATCATTACCTGTTGGCTCTTCAATGGAAAAATCATCAGAACATTTATCTTCGCATTCCTCCCTTTCGAATGTATCGTAATGAAGCTTACAGAATCTCGGTACTTCCTTCGTCACTTTGTGTTTGGCCTAAACACAACAAACATCATTAATAACAAACGTAAATTAATTAAACCATTTTATATCATCAAGCAAACGGCCCCCTGAATCCGAGAAAATGGCGAAGCGACCGTTGCCCATAAACACACGTAATTACAGTTGCCTTCCTTAAATCAATGGAGGAAATGCACATGAAGAGAATATTTCCCCTTTCTATGCGTCACCTCTACCATCAAATCCACTTTACCTTCCCATTCTTTCCTCATAAGAAAAGGTTGGAAAGGAACTAACCCTGCACCTAAAGGTCACTCACATGTGGGTCATACTTCTCTACAGCAACTCCATCCACCAAATGGTACCTCTCCCGCCATCTGTAGCCGATTATCTGACCGTCGATACATTCCCCTTCGCATTCGCTCCACTCCTGCCACTGCGACATCGGACAGTCCTCCGGGGATTCCGGGTCCGTGACAATTGGTGTCTCACTGTTATACAAAATCACACGTTTTATATAGAAATTCGCCAAATTGTTTTGCGTGCACCATCGTTGGTATATCGTGCTATTTGCGCGTTACGTGTGAACGCATAAATTATACAATTATTATATTTACCGCAATAAAAGGTAAGTTATCTATTCTATGATATGGAGTAACGTTTAAAGCGTTCGTTAAGGTGACGCATACTTGTTTAAAGATCGGAGATGGGCGGAATAGTATCGACTAAAATATTAGCATTTACAATGATACAGTACTAGTTTTTTTAATATCTTGGCGCCCCAAGGTCCTCGAAGGCTGCGCAGTGACTAAAAATTGTCTACTATCCAATTAAAATATGTCTACGCATCTCGTACGATGTTCCGAGCCGCCGAGATATCTGACAACGACTGTATTATATTTTGTAAGCCCATCTCTGATACCATGAATGATGAAATAAACATAAGTTATCAAGTAAGCCTCACCGGGCGCGCTCGCCGCTACCTAGCTGTGTGTTTTGGTACCTGGAAGGCGCATCGGGCTCCGACGGACTCGGCTCTTCTGTATCTGCCTCTGTTTCTGTCGTCGTCACCTCTGTTGTTGTCGAAGTCACTTCTTCTGTTGTAACATATTTATCGACATGTATTTTAAGAAAGTATAACCTAGATTTACAATATAGGGCTTGAGGTGGTGAAGCGAAGATAGACTAACTCATCATCATCATCATCTTTCTCTTAGTCCTACTCCCGACTCTCGTAAGGTCGGCGCAAAAGGTTTTTGTCCTCTACATAACTCTATCATACGTCATCTCTGTCATCATTCCCTTCTTGATCATGTCACCTGTCACGCAATCCATCTATCTCTTCCTCGGTCTACCTCTACCGATGTACCCTTCCACACTCATAACTAACTCTAACTAAACAAAGCGAAGATAGACTAACTAGGAGAGCTTAATGGTAGGATAATTGTGGTCATTAGCAAAATTGAAGGTCGCATTTCAGAGCTCAGTCACTTATTAGCTGGCTGGGTATACTCATCAGTTCGTCTATCAATGTTTAATTAATATTACCAGTAGTAGACTTTTCCTCCTCTGTTGCGGTGGTTTCTTTGCCTTCCTCCTCCTCCTCCACGCACTCCTTATGGTAAGTCCGCACCAATTTGATCCTCAGTCTGCCGAACGGATGCAGTTCTTTCATATCCGTTTCGTAGAAAGGTGACTCTTTATCGTATGAACTCATCTGAACTCGGGATATCGCGTCTTGAGGAAACGTTGCGATGTTCATTGACTGCGAATAACACATTATGCTGACATTTTCTTAAATATCAAGAGTTATTTAAGGATTAAAATTACACACCTCATAAGAAACACCACTGTCAGTTCCCGCATCCCATAGAAACAGATTGAGTTCCCTCTCTTTGACCCATGTATTGTCGTTCTGACAGAGCTCAAACCGCGTCACGCCGAGGAACCAGTCTGGAGAGGGATGAATACCGACAGCCACACTGACCAAGTGGTACCTCTTGTCAGCACGAATGAATGCGTACGTCGGATTGTTCATCTTTGGATAACCGTGGCCTTTGCCTTTCACCATCGTGCGGACACAAGTCCCGATCTAAAATTGTAATTAAATTCCGTTTAGAGTTCGCGGACACCTTTGACTAAACCATCGCACAACTGTTTAGTCTCGCTTTGATTCCTATAGGCTTATTTGGAGGCGCGTACGCTCCTCGATTTTTAGTTGTGCAACTAAGCAGTGCAAGAATGGGCTGGGAAACAATCGACAATCGCAAAACAGTTCTTAGGAAGAAATTGTACAAACAAACGTCAAAAATCTTTTAATTGCCTATCTAACCGCGGTTGTAATAATTTCTTAAACAACAACATAAAAAAAGTACTTGTTCACGAATTTCCGCTTCAAATCTGCTAGTGTTGGCGTGTTCCGCAAGTTCTCTAAAGCCGTCTGTAGCGAGAGCGCCGGGTGACCACAGCGTACAGTCAATAGCGTGGGACGCTCCCACTAAGTCACTGTACCGCGGCTCCCACTCCTTCTCGGGATATAAACGAGGATGCGTGTTTCGAGACCAGATGCCTGTGAACGCTATCTGTGAAATGTCTAATAGTTTACTATATCTCTACGAAATTACTGTAGAAATGATTAACAAAGTCTGGTATGCTATATAATCGAGTACTTCGTATTTAGCTTCGTCACAGATCTGGCAGTCGTAGTTGAGCTGTGGAGTGACGTCATCGGGCTGTCTCATGTCCTCACAGAGCCGCTGTGTTAACGGCGGACCATCTTCGAACCACACCTCGTCTGTCTCTACTACCATAGCACGTAGAGTAACGCAGCCATTGCCTGACTCCGGAGCTTGCCAATACACCTGTTTAGAGATCATGTTAACAGTCAGATGGATTTGAGATGTTAATTTTAATTGAGTTATGTAATTAGTAGGTAAAAGCGATACCTCAACAGACGTTTTAGGCGACGCTATAGCATGTTCAACGGAATACAAACATCGGTCGCTAAATTTCGCAGAGATCAAGTCTTGTGGCCGGAGATGGCCGGGGAAGTAAGCTATCATTCGTCTGGGGTTACTTGGATCTGGCTTCGTTGCGCCGTCCGCTGATATCATGAAGCCAGTGAATCTTGAACCGCCGTCAGTTGATGTGATTTGAACTGAAAAAGAGCTTTCTTTACTTAGCTTATTTTGCCGTTCTATTCCTTGTATCATATACAAATATAAGCAAACGGAATACTAAGCATTCCGTGAGCTTTTTTTTAGTTCTTCTCTATTAGAGTCAGAACGAAATCTTTTCAGTTTCATTACATTAATTTCAAAGTTTTACTAAAAAAAAATGTTCAATACCTGTGTATAGCTGATCAGGCAAGTAAGTGTCTTCAGCACCGACCACAGTCAATTTGAATCTGCCATCAGCCGCTGAAGGTTTAGTAATAGATCCATATGGCCGTCTATCGCAGCGAAATCCAAATACTCCGCTTTTCAATACGATGAATACACAGAAAAATATAATATTTTTCATCATTTCTAGTATACTAAAATTAAATTCATACAGAAAAAGGACCGATGGACTTGTTACTTGCTAACTCTGTGCAGAAATGCAAGCTTCTTTATGTTTAACTCAACACGAAGAATTTATCTAGAACAAGACAATAAATTGAAAGGTATCTCGTTTCCGTCCTAATTTATTAGTTGATAGATTAGACCTTAGGTCTTAAGACTAAATTAATGTCTCATATATCGTCTTTACAATGGATTCGCTGTACATATTTAATGACAATAAAACTACTTGAATCTCTGGTAAACGTGGTAAACCCTTGCTCGTATAATATAACGAACCATCTAAACTGTTTTGGTGAACATTTGTTACTAATTGTATTGTTTTGGAAAATAACAATGTGTTTGGATCTTTTTATTAATGGTTACCCACCATTTATTTTACTTTTTTTTTGTTGAAAACTTTTCATTAACAATAACGTGTTATCAGATTTCAGCATGGATGTACATAATACTAGAACAGGATTGAGCTCTTGTCGAAAATTTGACGAAGAGCGAGACCTCAATAACTGTCCGTTCTATCCCTCTCTGGCGATGGTGACTATGATAAAATATGATTTAAGGAAAGATCTTGTTTTTTTGACTGACCTCAGCTGATTATTGGTTCAGACGGATTTTAACGTATTAATGTTATCATTAATGTATTTTTAAAAACAATATAAAGACATAATTCTAAATCAGACATTTCTAAAAAAAAGTCTAGTGAAGTTTATGAAGCAAACCTAGCTTATTCCTTATACCTTAAATCTAAATTAAAACAAAGTTATATTAACAGAGAAAGGAAGAAATAAATAAGTGTTTAAGTTATTTGTTTAGTTGATAGTCATGCCTGGTCACCGTAATTCTTCACCAACAAATTATGTTTAAAACTATTACCTGTGAAAAAATAACCCACAATCAGCATAATACTCGCTTCGGCAAGCCTCCACGACACAAATTCTTCCCATCTTAACTAAAATTCTTCAAAAACATCTCGAAATCAAAAAAGACTCAGTCATTAACGCCCGAGTCGGGATGTCATGTGGGGTTGTCAGTTCAGGTGTCCGAATTTCAAATACAAGAAGTAAGTTTCAATTTCAAGTATCCTCATTGCAATTTTTTTGTGTAAATAAAGTTTTACCTGTAGCAACAAATAATATTGCTTTACCACGTCGGTAATGAATTGTTATCAATATTTAGAAACATTTTAAAAGTAAATATTTTCACTGCATTACATTACATCAATTGCCTATTTTTCTACAAACAACGAAAGGATTGATATCTGGCAACTCTAGGTCACTGTTAGAAAGGGACACATCGGACGCTTGTAGCCCTCTCACTCGGGTTCAATTTCATTTTGCGTGCAACAGGACTCTTACGCCCTTAGCATAAGGTTTTATTTTCTTTATTTTAACTGCCATATGTACAGATAGAACGCATTCCTGTTCTAATAGTACCTTCTATATATCCTCTTTGGTAGTACTTCCATGGATTTCAGTGTTTGATTCTTTGCTACACACCTTCGTCTCTAAAATCTTAAAGTTGAAATAGCCTAAATGCAAATTTATTTAAACAGTAATATAAAATATTCTTCAATTGATGTACCTTCGTAATGTAAAAGTTTATTTTAAAGAAAAATATTTTTTATTATTATGTTTATCAATACATGCTCAAAAACTCCCAGGATTTTGAACGCTAATTTGAACGTCAATGAGCCAATGTCAATCAATCACAAATCGTGCGTCACTGTCATATTGTTCCTTTAGTGGCGTTCTCCTGTTTGTTACAATTAAATATTCCGTGGCAGTGTTCGTGTACAGGAAGTGCTTGTCAAATGGTGAATAAATGTCTGTAAAGCCAATAAAGATGCCGTCGGCAACGAAGGATTCGACGATTCTCAAGATTGCCGTGGAAATGCTCAATGCGCCTGACAAGGTGCCACAACTGATTGAATTCGACCAAAGCCAGCCCTTATCTAGCATTATTCAGCTGCTTTGTAAGCCGTGGGGTTTGCCCGACCCCGATAACTACGCCCTACAATTCTCAGAGAGTAATAATCAAAATTATATTACGGAGAAAAATCGTAATGAAATCAAGAACGGTTCTGTTCTACGATTGGAGCAATCGCCAGCTAAAACAGTGCAAGATATATTAGCAAAAATCAACTCCGGTAATGAGAATGATCAAACTACAGCTCTATCGAAATTGTCCACTTTGAGTAGTGACCTTACCTTTGCACTTGAATTCATCAACAAAAAAGGTTTGACATTAATCATTCATAACATTGAAAGCAGCAAGTTTAAAGGTCCCTCACTTAAATTTGCCCTCATTACATTTGTTGAACTAATGGATCATGGGAACATTTCCTGGGATATATTGGAAAATCAGTTCATAAACAAAGTAGCAAGCTTTGTCAGTAACCAATCAAATACACAGGATCCTAAAATAATACAATCATGTCTATCTATACTAGAAAACATTGTTCTGAATAGTTCCGGAAAGAATTTACATGTTGAAAAGGAGATTACAATACCTAGTCTCATATCACATCTTCAAAATCCATATCAAGATAGTATTATCCAACAGAATGCAATAGCATTAATAAATGCAATATTCTCTAAAGCAGATGTTAACAAAAGGAAAGCCATTGCAGCCACATTATCCTCTAAGCAGGTTAGAAATGTAATCTACGAAAACCTCATTGGTGCCTCGGAATTCTCAAAGAATGTCTCCAAGGAAGCTCTTGGCACAGAATTAGCTCATCAGTTATATGTTTTGCAAACCCTTACTTTAGGGCTATTAGAGCCTAAGATGAGACAACGGGCTGATACTCAAGAACAAGAATCCCAAGAAAAGATAAAGGAATTGAGAAAGATTGCATTTGATAATGATAATAATTCTTTAGAAGTGACTACAAGACATCAACTAAATAATTCCACAAGGGATTATAAAAAACTTGGTTTTAAATGTGAGATTGACCCTATTAAAGATTTTAATGAAGTCCCACCGGGTATACTGGCCTTGGATTGTATGCTTTATTTTGCAAGAAATTATTCAGAGGATTATCGTAAAATTGTTCTAGAAAACAGCAGAGCAGTAGAACATGAATGTCCATTTGGGAAAACTAGCATTGAACTAGTAAAACTTTTGTGTGACATTTTGCACATTTCAGAACCTCCTAGTGAACAAGGACAGACATATCATCCCCTCTTCTTCACACATGATCACCCATTTGAAGAATTATTTTGCATTTGTATAGCACTTTTAAATAAAACATGGAAGGAGATGAGAGCAACTTCGGAGGACTTCATGAAAGTGTTAAGTGTTGTCAGAGAACAAATAAATCGGGCTCTATCCGCATCTCCTAAGGGTTTTGATAAATTTCGCCAAAGAATCAATCAATTGACATATGCAGAAATTACACAAATATGGCAACAGGAGCGTACAAACAGAGAAGTATGGGAGTCACACGCAAGACCCATTGTGGAACTAAAAGAGAAGATTACACCCGAAATTATAGAGTTGATACAACAGCAAAGGCTTGGTGTATTAGTTGGTGGTACCAGATTCAAGAAGTATTCTTCAAGGGGGCAAAGAATAAAAGACAAATTCTGGTTTGTACGCTTATCACCAAACCACAAAGTACTACATTACGGTGACTGTGATGAAAAAAGCACTCCGAGCTTAGAAGAACTGGGCAACAAGTTAGCGGTTTCTGACATCAAATGTGTAGTAATGGGCAAAGACTGTCCGCATATGAAAGACTTGAGAGGACGAAAGGTGACACCGCATTTAGCGTTTTCTTTAATCTTAAAATCTGCTGAGGAAACTTTAGACTTTGTAGCACCTGATGAACAAATATTTGACTACTGGACTGATGGAATCAATGCGTTGTTAAAAGAAAAAATGACTAGTAGATGTTTTGAAAATGATTTGGAGACGTTATTATCTATGGATATTAAAGTTCGACTTCTTGATGCTGAAGGAATTGATATACCACAAGACCCACCTCAGATCCCAGAGGAGCCGGATGACTATGACTTTTATTACGATAATAATTAGGTTGATTTTATATTATGGCAGTAATTTTTATTTTTAGTAAATTTGAGCTTATAGCTTATAATGTAATCATATTTTATACATTTTTAACCACAAGTATTCCAAGATATTAAAAGATCTCCATTATAATTAGACTAAGCGAGATTAGTGTAAGAACTTGTTCTTGGTAAGTTAACAATTATTAGTAATTATATTGTTTAATAATTAAATAAGAAAATCCATATCAAAATTATTATTAGCATAGATCTTTTAGTTTCATATACTTTATTATAATTTAAATGTTTTATAATCATTATTTGATTTATTTTAATCATGACTATGGGATAATTGAAATACAAATATTTTTTATCTGTGCCAGTGAATACAAGTTCATATTGTTAAATTATTTTTTGCATTTTAATGACAGATTTTATATTAATTTAATAATTTAAACTACCCATTTTATGTCACATTTTTTAAACATATTTCTGTTTAACAGATTTTGACAATAGAAAAGGAATTTTATCTTCATTTCGCTCAAACTATTGAACTAATTTGGTGGATATTTCGTTACTGTCAATTTAGTATAATACGAAATAATTTATAATTTAATATATGAACAATCATTTAAGATTTTTTCTTAACAAAATTGTTAATTTGCTGATATATATTTTTATTGTTTAAATTTTAACTAATCATGAATTTCTTTGATATATTTTAATGTAATTTTCTTCCACAAATTGTTAAGCTTCCATAATATGCGTGGCCATATTTCATGTTATTTTATATACCAAAGATCATATCTAAAGAACAAAAACTATTTAATAATGCAAATAAACCTGTAATAAATACATTTTAGTTTTATTACCAATCTGGTGCGGTGCAGTTCCTCTTAGGTTTACCATTGTTTCTGAGGCTTTGGTAATTGTTAAATAATAGAAAAAATTGAGATAAATACTATATATTAAATGGGTGCTTATAATTTATTGCATTTTGGAGACTTCGAACTTAGTGTTAACGATTTCTTCATCGGAGTCTAGCACGGGCAGAGCGCTTGCCGGAATGTGTTCCTCAACCCAACGCAGTTCCTCCAGCTCTGAATTCTTGCTGTCCCCGGACCGGCCCTCCCGGCCTTCGCCCCCGCTCCGGCCCTCGCTCCCACCCCCGCCCCCGCCTCGCATCTTCACACCGTACGCG